GGTGCTGGTCTCGGTCTCATTCTCAGTCCGACAGGAGGGCCAGCCCTGGTGCCAGTGCCGGTTCTGGTTTCTGTCTTGGTCATGGTCTCAGTTTTGGTCTTGGTCTTGGCCTAATTCTCGGAGTGGTCTTGGTCCCAGTGTTGGTACTGGTGCTGGTGTTGGCCCTAGAGTGATCCCAGTGCCAATCTCAGCCTCAGGCCCAGTCCCGAAGCAGTTCCAGTCTCGGTGTTGGTGCCGATGCCGCTCTGATTCTCAGTCCCAGAGTTCTCACAGTGCCAGTGCCAGTCCCAGAGCAGTCCTGGAGCCCTCCTGGTGCTGGTTCCTGTGTCAGTGTGGGCCTCAGTTTTGGTCCCAGTGCCAGTTCTGGTGCTGGTCACACTCAGTCTCAGTCTTGGTCCTAGTCCTAGTTCCAGTTCTGGAGTGCTTCTACTCTTGATCTCAGTGTCCTTTTGAAATGGATAAACCTAAGAAAGCCTTGGGCTGCGGCACTTGCCTGGTTGAGTATGGTTTGTTGTGTTGTTGGAGGGTTGTATTGTTACTTACCAGTTGTTTTAAACTGTTCTCGTTAAATCTGTGTTCCCCAGTTTCAGTCTTTTGTGTTCCAAGTTGTACCCCCACCCTCAGAAATTCTTGTATCCCCAGTTTCCCCCTTACCTTCTGTCGAGCAAGGCCTCTGCTGCTCCCCACCTGCCCATCAAACCACTGACACCGCCTAATAAACCAACTGAGGGACTCCCATGACGCTCAGTGCTAATGCAGAAGTTTGATTAACACCCAAAATTCCTAAAAGCAACGATCAGGCACGAGAACTAGATCTAAAAGGGGCATTAATATGCGGGCAGAACATCAAGCTACTCATGGAGAGTTTCCATCTTCCTTCCTTCACCTAGAGAGCACCACGAAAGTATGATACCCCTAGACTGCATGAGCCAAAGCGAGCTCCTGGGAACCCCGATGAGGACTGAACCCCGACTCTGCAGTGCGAGCAGCACATTCGACTTGCACCTCCTCCTCAGTGGTGTCCAGTGGGAGCAGTGGCAGCGTGTGCAACCCCTCGAGCCCCCCACCCACAGCTGATCCTCAATAAAAGAGCTGATATTCAATAAAGGCTTTTCAAAAGGAGCAGGTCTCCTGGTCCCTTATTTACTTCACTTTCTGATTTTAGTCTCATTCATTTTGCTGATGCTATTTTTTGTGACAGTCTTGGTCCCAATGATTTCAGGCATGTTTGGGTGATTTTATACCAAACTGGGCAGTTTTAGGCTGGATTTTAGTTGTATTTTGAACTCTGTTAGGCCCATGTGTATGATTTTAGACTCCCTTTGTGTGGAGTTGAAGCCTCTTTGGGTGATTTTAGGCTAGATCTGATGAATTTAAGCTGGATTTGAGGCCCTTTTCTGGGTGATTTTAGGTCAAACCAGGCCTTTTCGGACCATGTGTGGCTTTGGCCCCGCCCCTTTCCCCCCACAGTTCCCGCCCTTTTCTTGGCCCCGCCCCTTTCTAGTCACAGCCCCGTCTATCTTTAGCCCCGCCCCTTTCTTTCCGACCAAACCCCTGTGTTCACCACGCCCCTTTCCCCTCCAAGCCCCGCCCATCTCAGGGCGCGTTCCTCTCGCGCATGCTCAGAACACTCGGAGGTGCCTTCCGGGCGCCGCCATCTTTGCTCCCTGTCTGCCTGCCCGGCTTCAGCATGTCCGAGAGCTACGGTGGGGCTCGTGGGACCTATAGGGGATCTATAGGGGACTGGGGGGAGGTCTGAGGATTTCTATAGAGGATTTGGGCTTGCTAATAGAGGATTTGGGGTCTCTGGGGGTCCATTATGGGTGGTTGATAGGTCTGTACGGCATCTATAGACCACTGGTGGAGGTTTTACGGCCGTGGGGGGGTCTGGGGGACTTTATAGGGGATTTGGGCTTGTCTATAGGGGATTTGGGATGCTCTGGGGCTCCCTAAAGGGGGTCTGGGAGGTCTATAGGGGATCTGTAGGGGACTGGGGGATCTGAGGTTCTCTATAGCTGATTTGTGTTTGTCTATAGGGGATTTGTGGGGTCCCTAACGGGGGACTGGGAGGTCTATAGGGGATCTATACGGAACCAGGGTGGCTTTACAGCGCTGGGGGGGTTCTGGGGGTCTGTATAAGGGATTTGGGCTTGTCTGTAGGGGATTTGAGGAGCTCTGGGGCATCCCTAAATGGGGTCTGGGAGGTTTATAGGGAATCTGTAGGGAACTGGGGATCTGTATATGGGATTTGTGTTTGTCTATAGGCGATTTGGGGAGCTCTGGCGTGTCCCTAAAAGGGGTCTGGGAGGTCTATAGGGGATCTATAGGGTCCAGGGGGGTTTCAGGGTCTCTATAGGGGAATTTTGTGCTTCTTAAAGGGAATTCTTGGGAATTTTGTGCTCTGTCCAAAGAATTCTTGGGGTTCCTGTAGGGAATTCTGTGGCTCCTATTGAGAATTTTTGGGAATTTTGCAGTCCTTAAAGGAAACGTGGAGGTCTCTTGGGAAGTTTGGACTCCTCATAAGGAACCGTTGGGGTAATTAAAGGGAATTTTGGAGTGTCTGTTGGGATTTTTTGGGCTTGTTTTGAGAATTGTGGGGTCTCCATCGGGATTTTTTTTGAGTTTTGGGTCCAAACATGGGACTTCTTATGTCCCTATTGAGAAGTTTTGAAATTTTGGGGTCCTCAAATGGAATTTTGGAGGTTCCCCTAAGGAATTTTTGGGCTCCCTATAAAGAAATTTGGATCCAAACATGAAAAGTTTGGGATCTCTGTAGGGAATATTTGGGAATTTTGGGTCCAAATGTGGGAATTTGGGGGGAGAATTTTGGGTGACAGTGAACAGCTGGCATGAAGCCTATGGGACCCGGGGGTCTAATTTTAGGGTGATTTTGTGTCCCTCTGGGGGTCTTTCAGGCCAGTTTGGGTGTGTTTAGGCCCATTTTGGTGATTTTAGGGAAAACCAGGCAATTCAAGGTACATTTTACACACATCTGTGAAGTTGAAGAGTGATTTGGGGCAATGTTGTGTGGGTTTTAATCCAGTTTGGGTAACTTTAAACTGCTTGGGTTAGAGTTTAACCCCATTTGGCTGATTTTTGGCCAAACTCTGAGGATAGAGAGCGGATTTTAAGGCCTTTGGCTGATTTCAGGCCAAACCTGATCAGTTTTAGGGTGGATTTTAGGCCCCTTTTGGACAATGTCAGGCCCATTTGGATTATTTTAACCCCCTTTGTGTGGATTTGAGGCCCCTTTGGCTGATTTTAAGCCAAAGCTGGTGGATCTAGGCTGCATCTGAGGCGATATTGGATGATTTTAGGCTGACCCAGATAGAAATAAACACCTTTGGGAGAGAGGGCAGGGAGAGGAGGAGGGACATGGCTGCAGAGATGGAGGCAATACTGAAGCCACAGGGGATCAAGAATATAAAAGAACTGAGAATTAGTAATTGCCACAGGAACCTCAGTGTGTCGTGGGTCCATCTCAACTGCGACAGTGGCACTCTGAAAACAGAACTGGAACACAAATCAGGAATTGTGAAACGTTTATTTACTTTCAAATCCATCCCAGCCAGCCAGCCCCACACAATCCCGATCCCAGTGCTCCCAATTTGGATCCCACTTCTCCCAGTCTCCTTCCAACCCCTTCTCACCCTGGTGGGTGTGGAAACCAGTAAGGTTCACATGGGATTGAGTTGTTTTGAGGATCCACTTTGCAGTTGGATTGAGCTCTTTTGGATTAAAATTGAGGTGCTTTCAGCGGGATTTGAGAAGTTTTGAGGTGACAGATTGATCCTTTTTGGCTTTTGGTGTGAAAAGAGATGGAGAAGAGAGAAAAACTAAAGCCAAAACAAAAGGATAACCAGCCAGGTGTCTTCCCAAGATGGATCCTAGGGAATGTGGGTCACCAGGGCTCTGCAGTGGGGGATGGAGCTGGAGCAGGGCACGAAGCTCTTCCTGCACTGGGGGCACTCAGGGTTTCCTTTACTGGTGCTTCTGTTGGTGTTTGAACAAGCCTAATCTCTGGGTGAAGCTCTTCCCACACTCCTCACACTGGTAGGGCCCTATTCTGGTTTAGAGCAAATTTGGGAGAAAGCCTCTAAATGGGTTTCCTCTAGGAAACAGATTCAAGCAGTCCCTCCTCCAGCTGGTTCCGGGAAATATTTCCTCAGAGAGAAGTGGAAAAAAACCTGTTTATTTAACAGGCAAAGCACTTCCCAGCATGAAATGACTAATACTAAACTGCAAAACCTCTCGCTGCTCCGAAGAGATGACAAATACAGAAGAGTCTCTTTGGTGGATTGCAGCCTGGCTCACTCAGTCTGTTCTCAGTCCCTCTGGCGCTGGGAAATGCCACGGCCCAGGCCAGGCCTGGTGTGCCACAGATGTGAGCTCCCAGTGCTCCTCTGGGTTTTCAGTCCAGAGAAGAACAGTTTAGAGCAATAGAAAGGAAAAAACCACAGTCCAGAGAGCTTCTCTGCCTCAGCTAGGCAGAAAAACTAACCAAGAGCAAAGGAGAGCTCTGTGCTGCTGCCCACTGCAGACAACACAGTCATTGCGAAGAATGTGAGGGAGCAACTGCAGTCTGATAATAAACTCTGCACCTCCCTCTTCACTCCTAGAACCAGTCTTAAAGCTGCAGAACTCAATTTGCAAGACCAAGAGAAGATTGGGGATACAAGCATCCAAAATTTACCCCAAGACAGGCCTTTACCTCGACTGGATTATGAGGTTGGAGTTTTGCCTGAAGCCCTTCCTGCAGTCAAGGCAGCGGAAGGGCCTCTGCTCTGTGTGTGTGCTGGGGCAGGAGGAGATTGGAGCTGGAGTGAAACCTCTTCCCACACTCAGGACACTCATAGGGCCTCTCCCCAGTGTGGAAACTTTTGTGGCAAATCAGGTTGGAATGCTTCCTGGAGCACTTTCCACATTCCTCCCACTCATAGGGCCGTTTTCAGTGTGAATCTCCTCCACATTTCCAGTGTGGCTCTCCTGGTGGCGGATCAGTTGAGAGCTCCGGCTGAAGCTCTTCCCACACTCCCCACACTTGTTGGGCTGTTCCACGGAGTGGGTCCTCTGGTGGCGGATCAGGTGGGAACCACGGCTAAAACTCATCCCACACTCCTCACACTCGTGGGGTCTTTCCCCAGTGTGAGTTCTCTGGTGTCGATTCAGGCAGGAGCTCCGACTGAAGCTCATCCCACACTCCTCACACTCGTGGGGTCTTTCCCCAGTGTGAGTTCTCTGGTGTCGATTCAGGCAGGAGCTCCGACTGAAGCTCATCCCACACTCCTCACATTCGTGGGGCCTCTCCCCGGTGTGGATGCGCTGGTGCCTGACAAGATGGGCGTTTCTCCTGAACGCCTTCCCGCAGTCAGGGCAGCGGAAGGGCCTCTCCTCTGTGTGGGTCCTCTGGTGCTGAAGGAGAGTAGAGATGAGATTAAAGTTCTTCCCGCATTTATCACACTCGTATGGCCGCTCCCCAGTATGAGTCCTCTGGTGGCAGATCAGGTGGCATTTCTGGCTGAAGCTCCTCCCACACTCCCCACATTTGTAGGGTCCTTCCTGCGTGTGGGTCATCTGGTGCCGGATCAGTTGTGAGCTGACTCTGAATCCCTTCCCACACTCCCCACACTCGTAGGGTCGTTCCCCAGTGTGGATCCTTTGGTGGTAGATCAGCTTAGACATATATCTGAAGCTCATCCCACACTCTGAGCACTTGTGGGGCTTCTCCCCATCACCAATCTGCTCATGGACCACCAGCTCCGAGCTCTGGCTCCATCTCTGGCCGCCCCCCTGGCCCAGGCTGGGGCTTTCCTCCTCAGATCCCCGCCATCTGCGTTTGCAGCCCCTCCTCGTGCGGGATCTCCGTGGCTTTTCCTCCCCGTTGCATTCCTGCACCGTGGAGCCGCTCCAAACGGCCTCTTCCACGAGGTTCTGCCGCGGGGATTTGTCCTCCCTGCTCTCCGTGCTCAGCTCCTTGTCTGGGGCAGGAAGGACAAGCAGAGGATGGGATTTGCCTCCGTGCCAGAGGGAAGGGGAAGGAGATCCCCCCAGCGCGTCCCCGGCAGGACGGCATCGGCAGCGGGGTTGTCCTGCAGCCGGGGGCTGTGCTGGGCTGGGAGATGGAGCAGGACAGAGGGGGAAAGGGGCACTGACTTCCTCCTCACCTGCCTGCGGCTCCTGGGGCATCTTCCTTTTCCTCGCAGCCTCCTCTTCCTCCATTGGGCCAAGGGTTGGGAATGGAAATCCTGGTTTGGGGAAAAACAAGGGATGAGCGCGTTGTGTTGCAGGTTTCTACTGTCCAAGTCCATCTCTAGAAGTCCCCGGGCATCTGGGGTCCATAAAAACCTCCCAAACACCAACATTCAGCCCTGAAAATGCCTCCCAGGGGTTCCTGGGAATGGTCCCTCCCCTTTGGTGTTTGGGGGTTCCCCCCTGTCCCAGCTGCTGGGGGTCACGCTTGTATTGGGGGTCCCCCATCTACTCGGTTCCCGCCCTCCCCGGGCTGCTGGGAGTCCCAGGAATCCAAAAAGCTCCCCCCTCTTCCCTCTCCCCATTTAGGGATGCTGGGGGTTTTTGTGGTCCCTTCTCCCCTTATTCTCTGCTTTGGGGTGCAGGGGTTCCAAGGAGTCCCCCCGCCCCTCTCCAGGCTGTTGAGGGTCCCAAAATAGCAGCACTCCCCCCTCTCTGGGCTCCCCACTTTGGGGTCCTGGGGGACACAGGGCTCTGCTCCTCCAGGGTGCCTCTTCCGGCAGACACCACCAGGACCCCCCAATGTCCCAACAAGGGGCATTTTCTGGTCAGATTTAAAGCTCTGCATTCTCCAAACATCCCCCCCGGCCGCAAAAAAATACACAAAGCACGCTGAGAGGAACTGGGACCATTCTAGGAGCAACTGGGCTCAAACTTGGGGCAAGTGAAGCACACTGAGGTAACTAGGAGTGTCTGGGAAGGACTACAAGATAGCTCAGGGCAAGTGGGATATACTGGGAATGTCTGAAACCATAGGGCTGGTGAATGGGACCTAACTGGGAGCGACTGAGAATGTGCTGGGGAAAAAACTCGCATCATGCTGGGGCAACTGGGGGAAGTGTGAGTGACTGGGGCCCTACTGGCAGAGACTGGCATCATAATGGACTCATACTGGGATAAAAATGGGAGTGGCAGGGACTGTGCTAGGGGCAACTGGGAGAACTGGGAACACACTGGTGGAAATTAGGAGGGACTGGGAGCAACTGGGGCCGTGCTGGGGGCAAATTCTATCATAATCAGGAATGCCTGGGAGTGACTGAGCCCATCCTGGGAGTGCCGAGGAAACTGGAACCACACGGGGGGAGCAACTGGGCTCATACTGGGAGCAGCCACTCCCGGCTCCCGCACCCCCGAACCCCTT